CTAAATCATATCTACCGATCGCCACCAATCTGTGATTAGATCGTGAATTATCTTAACTCAATTCTTGGACAGCGAATGTTAAGTGTATGGTTGCTCAAAAAAAATAAGATCTTTAAACTTTCAAAAAACATACCCTCAGTTAGGTCCTCCAAAGGAAGAAAAAAAATCTTCCAAACTCAAAATGTCTAAAAACAAAAACTACATACGAAGCTCTAAGTTACGAAGAGTCTTACGAAAAACAGTAATACAAAAGAAAAGTATTGATATACCTGGGAAAAAGAAAAATCTTTAACTGTGGACGAAACCCCACAAGAAAAGTAGGTGACATAAGCAGCGCTGTACAACAATGCTACGATCAAACAGTTCAATCTTGTAAAGGAAGACTACACGAGAAAGAGCATTGGAAAAATAATCCGCTTTTGTCTTTCCATTTCTTTTGCCAGAGGTAAGCAAAAAAATCTGCACTAATTCTATTAAAAAAAGACAATGTGTTAAGTGTACCTTAATGAATAGTGTATTAAAAGAATTTTAAAGCTAAAAAAAATGATTAGCTGCTTAAATAAATGCAAAGCTTTTGAGCTTACTCCCTATTAAGCAATCTTCAAAGATTTACTGAGTCTAAACTACTACTCTTCTAATCTACTTAAAAGAATAACTGCAAAACTCAGACAAAATTAAATGATCAAACTCTGAGCGAATCTAAAAGTTAATTTAATTTTTTCTTCTGTTACACACTGATCAATAACCAAAAAAGAACAATAATCTCGACGTTTAATTTATACACTCTAGCCCCATTTGGTGTGCAGCTAAGTCATCTGAATACTTAAACTAATGTCTTTTTTAATTCAACCAATTTTCAACTCAAGAATGCTAACATCGTGCTAAGCTCGAATAACTACTACTCGCAGTCATACTGAAGTACCTTTATAAAACGGCCACTATCTCAAAAATTTACCTAGAAACTATTCTTCTTTTTCCCAATCTACATGAGCCATTAACCACTAAAAACTGTAAAAAAAACAGACTAAACAACAATATGTGAATAGCAGATGTAAGCAACATCTAATACATGCAATATTACTAATAGTTCCAAAAATGTGATAGCAAAAAAAAAAGTAGGCTAACCTTCAATATGAACAATTTGTTCACGCAGTTTATCCTGTATCATAGCATCCGACACTAACTCGATCAAATCGTAGACAGTATAGATGCATGGATGAACACTTTCAAAACGTTGAATTTCATGACGGATTTGCTGCGATATCGTCGCATTTGTATTCATCCTCATCAAATCGTCCCGAGACATCTTAAATATTGCCTCAAAAATCGTTGAATTTTACTCCAAGTATTCAGGATTTTATAAATACAGAAAACTAGATATATACATTCAAAAAAGCAATCATCAGCGATCAGTCAAATACATTACTGTCTCTAGTTTGACTACCGCAGTGGCATTTGAAAGCAACATTTTATTAGAAGAAAAAATAAAGTATATTTTAATTTTAGCCTAAAATTTCAACAATCAGTAGGATAAATTTGGAACTATCAATTAAGATAGTTTTTAAAAACTTATACAAGAGTTTTTTCCATGTTTTCTGTGCTGCCTTTCTTGTTGAATTGTTTATTCTTTTTCAACTAACCGTCCGATCCAGATGACTAATCTAAGTTACACACTTTAACTAACTAAGAAAATAGCAACCCAATTATTTGTTCACAGCTGCTCATAGCCGTTTGGCAGTGTTGTTTAGT